TAAGGTTTAGGCTTTAGGGTTTAAGTCTTTTGCTTTAAGACGGAGCCTTCACCCTATGTGAAGGGTATACACTGAGTGCGCTGCCCAGCGAGTAGATCATGCAAGTGAGCGCTGCAGCTGCTGAGAAGGCGGTTGCCTTAATAGGGCCCCAAAAAAGCACATACGCAAAAATTAGGATCCGGATATCCCATATAAATCCCCTTATAATGAAGCCAAATAAGGTAGGGATATCCCTATAAAAAACTTATGCTTATGTGCTTTTTGGGTCCCTAACTTAACACAGGTGATTGAATAATTAGCATACGGTGCCTTTATAAACAACTCTGTTTAAAGCGGTCTATAAGCGCTACTACAGGCGTTACCTGGTCTGTGGTTTCTGGTTCAGCACTGCTGGAGCAAACGAACATTGCAGGTGCCGAGTCTACCTAATAGCCAAGATGGGGGGTTTAGGGATTCAGGGTTTAGGGTTTAGGGTTAGGGTTTAGGGTTTAGGGTTTAGGGTTTAGGGTTTCGGGTTTAGGGTTTCGGGCTTCGGGATCTGTATAGTAGACGCCAGAAGGTTGGAACATTATGATCCCCATGCCCTTAAGGTAAAGTAGACGGGATCCGGGCACTTATCCTCCTAAGCCCACGTTCCAACTTTCTGGGATTCTCTGTATTTATCCTGTGGGCCACTGAACCCAACACTTTGCACTTCCTAAGCGCCTCGCGACGGAGTCTAGGCCACAAGGGTGAGGATTTGAGGTTTACGTCGGGGACTCTGGGCACAGCTTTGGGAAGAGGGTTTTTTTGGTTTAGGGTTCAGTTTAGGGTTTAGTTTAGGGTTTAGGCTTGAGGCTTTAGGCTAAACCCTAAACCCTAAACCCTAGGGCCCAGATTCAGGCAAGCATCAGGAGACTTGGCCACCAAGTTCAAGCCCACCTGCTCATGCTCTCTGCTTCTCTAGCCTCTTCCCTAAACCCTAAACCTCAAAACCACAGAGCCCTATACCCTAAGCTGAAGCTTGAAGGTGGCAATCATCTGTTTCATCAGAAACAACCCTAAACCCAAAACCCTAAACCCTAAACATTTAACTCAGGGAGCTCAGGGCTTCCAAGCTAAGATCTTTGATGCTACAACATCCTACCAAAACCATCATCACACTCTACAAAAGTCTGTCTTAAACCCACTCTCCAACCCTACACCCCCCCTCACTGAAACTCATAGGACCATAGGAACACCCTGCAGCGCAGTTGACAACCCCTGCAAAAGCCCTCAACAATTCCCTAAACCCTAAACTCTACACCCCTACACCCTAAACCCAACTAAACCCTTCCTGGCCAGGACTTCGGCGCCCTGGCTGGATAAAGACTTGGAATTCTTGGCTGCAGAGTTTGAGATTTCGTGGTTCGGGTTTGCAAGGTTAGGTTCAAGATTGAGCGGTTTGGCTTTTGGAGCCCAAAGTCTATGGGGCCATAGTCGATAACCGTGAAAGCAAATGGAAGCTTAGCCCGTACCCACCGCATACAAACAACTAAAGCTGCATGAAACCTTCTTTGAAAGAGCTCAAATCATCAAACTTCATCCTGACGCCATAGACATGAACGAAAACACCAAGGACCCCAGGAGAAAGCATCCATTTGAGAAAATTCGCGATACTAATGTTAACGAATACCATCACGATTGCCACCGAGTCTGTGTTCTTGTTTCAGGCTTCAGGGTTACGTCCTTGCCGTCATGCGCCATTGAGTATTACCATTGTGCCGCTGGTATCAAGCAGGAGTCAGCCCAAAATGCCGATTGTTTGCTTGGTCCCAGACGCTGCAAACCCGAGACGGTGATAGGGATCTGCGGATCAAGGCTACCCAACAAGAACTCAGTACAAGCCTATAATTTAGCAGCCGGACTAATCAAAACATGCCTGCCACGGGGTGTATGATATTGCAAATCCTACATGGCTGCGACAGAGGCGAGCATGGCCCTAGAGCAACATACTTCTACCCCATCCGGAGAGCAGTATAGACTCTCGGTGCTTCCGAACCGCTCGTGCTATGTCATGCCCAAGATGACCATTGGCTGCAGACTTGTGGTGTCTACGACACCAAATACCCTCAAGCCTAGACCTAGAATGCTGAAAACCTTACATCCTGAGTCCAAACGAGTCAATCCCATAAATCAGACCTGAACCCCCCCCCCCCCCGTCCCCCCTCCCGGAAACCCTGAGACCCAAACCCCGAACTCCTCCCCTAAACCCTAAACCCTAAACCCTAAACCCTAAACCCTAAACCCTAAACCCTAAACCCCTGCCCCGCCGTCAGGGTCAGCACGTAGGCCCCAAGCAGCTCTGCCCCACAACGCGTGCCGAGCCCGGCTGCGTGCTTGGCGAGGCCCTCCTGTGGAGTTTAAGGTTTTAGGGTTTAGGGGGTTAGGGTTTAGTGGTTAAGGGTTTAGTTTAGGGTTTGGGGGTTTAGGGATTAGGGCTTTTTAGGGTTTAGGGTTCGGGGGTTTAGGGGTTTAGGGTTTAGGGTATAGGATTCCCACTAAGCCAGCCAAGCTTAGACTCTAGGATAGTATAGGGGTCTTAACAGTTAGAAGAGGGTTTTGGGGTCCTTTATAGTATATGTACAATAAGGGGGCCCCAAAATAGCCTAGGTAATCATTAAGGCCATGTTAAGCCAGCCAAACTTAGACTCCAGGACAATATCGGGGCCTTAATAATTAGAATAGGGTTTTGGGGTCTATGATACTATGACTCTAATACGGAACCCACCAAAATAGTATAGGTAATTATTGAGGTCCCTATATTAGGTCGGTAAAGTTCGTGAGAGGCTGCAAGTGGACTGAGCTACAAGGCTTCCTAAGTCCCTGCCGGCATAAACCCTAAACCCCAAACCCTAAACCCGAACAAAACCCTAAACCCTCAACGTGAAACCCAAGACGAGTCCTTTGCCCTGTCCCTAAACCCTAAACCCTAAACCCTAAACCCTAACCCTAAACCCTAAACCCTAAACCCTAAACCCTAAACCCTAAACCCTAAACCCTAAATAGGGGTTTAGGAACCTGAAGCCTTCTGACCTACACGTGGGTGTGTTTTCAAGGCCACTTAGCAAGCAACTGGTTTAGGGTTTAGGGTTTAGGGTTTAGGGTTTAGGGTTTAGGGTTTAGGCTTCTGATTCTAAGTACTATAATCCCAACGAGGATCCCTTTTGGCCTACTTTTGTAAGTCTACTTCTTACCTTCTTACTGAGTCCCCCGACCCTCCTACTTAACGGATCATGGGACTTAGTAAATGAGGTTATAACTACGGTAACTATACTTATAATTACTTATAACCCCAATTAAGGTACTTATCACCCTACTTACAAAGTCCCAAGATCCTCGAAGTAGGGGGCTCGGGGCATTTTCAGGCGGGTAGTTACCGTCATTGGAGCCTTATAGAAGGTTTATATACCCTATAGAAGCCTCATAGAAGCCCTATATACCCTAAACTCCCCACCTGTAGTTTCCTTTATCCGACCCTCCTAGTAAGCTTGTGGGATCCTGAGGCTTCGAGACCAAGTCGCAGCTTGCGTGCTTCCAGGCCCTTGCCCTGAGCTCTTGGCCATGTCTCAGAGGGTTTTGATGGGGGTTCATAAACACTTCAGGGTTTAGGGTTTAAGGTTTAGGGGTTTGGGGGTTTAAGGGTTTAGGGTTCAGGGTTTGGCGCCTAAGCCCTTAACCCTGAAGCGTTGTGGTTGTGGAGTTTCATACAGGCTTTCTGCGGGCCCATGAGTGCGCAGAGAGCCAATAGGCCAATTTACCAATCGACGCTTGATTGACCAATATAGCCTGTAGGGTTTAGAGTTTGGGAGTGTAGGGTATAGGGTTAAATGTGGCTGAGGGTGTGTAGTGCTTGTTGTTATGGTGCAAGGTATGAGGCATTTCCAGAGCCAGCGGTTCATGGGTGCAGCCTTGTCAAAGCCAAGGAAGGTACAGCGCGAGGTACTTATGAGCTTTACCCTCACCCTTTGTGACCTCGAATATCTTCTAACCAGGCATCTACATGGTTTAGGGTTTAGGGTTTAGGTTTAGGTTTAGGTTTAGGGTGTAGAGTTTAGGATGATAGAGTCCAGGCATTCGCGTCGAATATGGGGATTTGTGGCCTCGGCTGGAGGCTTCTGTGCCGATCTGAAGCATCGAGGCTTGTCCTCTTCCGTCAACGATCTGCATGGAGTTGCACAAGGCCGTCACGGCCGAGTTCCAGAACCATATCTCACTAGCAATATGGCATTGAACATGGCTGGTGTTCAAGACGGCGACTCTTTGACCCTGCATATACTGACTGAAACCCTAAGCAGCATTGGTGCTGCCGGTGCGGATGACTGACAACCGAGTGCAGCTGTGCTCGGAGCTGTGAACCGGCGAGGCCCACCACAAGCAGCGGATGCGGGACCACTGTGTCGCCCATCGATGCTGCTGTGGAGCCACCGGGGATCCCATTCGATCGCTTGCTGGACTGCACCCTAAACCCTAAACCCTAAACCCTAAACCCTAAACCCTAAACCCTTGCACTGTCAGGCCCCCAATGCACGGACCAGCCTTCGCTCGATCATCACCTCGTGATCGCAAGCCTCCCATCTGTGAACCGGCTTGCCAATGGCATCGTCGTGGTTTTAGGGTTTAGGGTTTAGGGTTTAGGGGGCTTACTAGGTTCTTAGGATTTCATAGGGCCCCACGGCTTTAGGACTTAGGTTCCTTTACCGGTTTCTTTCGAGTTTGCATGGTTGGGATTCGGTTTGGCTAGGTAATGCCCGTCGAAACTCACAGAAATCGCTGTAAACCTTAAACCCTAAATCGTCAATGCCGGACACGGGGCCGGTCGGTCAATCTAAACCAACATGCCCTACGACTCAGTGTTCAGGATGTATAATTTAGGGTCTAGGGTGGCTCCCAATCACAGAATCCCGATTGCTGATGATTAAATTTCCTAACTCCAAACTGTAGGTTACGCCGGAATGCCGGAACTCCCTGCTGCACAGGAGCAGGATCACGGCATCGACGCGCTTGCCTTCTCGCACGACGACCGGTTTCTGATCTCTTGCATCTTGGCTTCATTGGATTTCTTCTTGTTGGTCGACTCCTTTCAGTAGGAGCAGACAACAGTATAAGGAAGATACTTTAAGCGGGATGACTATGCCTTTTATATAGCTAAAGGTACTGGCAGATTGTTAGTTGCGTTTACCAGCCGGAAAACTCTGCACCCCGTCCCAGACTGAGAAGCAATTCCACCCAATCCTAAACCCCTCTGACAGTGCACCGTGGTTCTTTGTGGCTGAGTTCTCTGTCCCCTGGAAAAGCCATAGATTCATGGATTAGGTTCCTTTCTGGACCCTTTGCTTTAGGATAAAAACAGGAGGAAGTGTATTGCCGAGGTGTGTTCTTTGACAGAACCCTTATAACAACCCTAAGCCCTAAACGATGGCAACCTGCATGTCGGAGCGGAACCCTTTAAACGTTAAAACCCTAAGCCCTAAACCCTTGAAGTTTAAACCCCTACTTGGTGACTAGTTGCTTGTAGAGTCATAAGTACCATAGCCCCAGCTAGGATCCTTTATTTCGGGTACTTATGATTATGACTCTATGTATCACCCACTTACTGAGTCACCCGACACTCCAAGAAAGCCCTGGGCCCTTAAACCACCTGAAACCCATAAACCCTAAACCCTAAACGCTAAACCCTAAACCCTAAACCAAAACCCTAAACCCTAAACCCTAAACCCTAAACCCCTAAAACCCTTAAACCCTAACCCTGAAGCCCGAGACCCACGAATGTCCGAGGCGGAGACATTGTCGACCAGCGTGTCTTCGTCTATGACACAAGCAGCCGCGAGGGCCTCAGAACTGGATACCAGCGCGGGCGTAACATCAAGTTTAGGGTTACTGAGGGGTACTGAGACATGATTCTCAATCACTCAGAAACAGCTAAAATCTTTAATTTTTGCTAGGGTCCCAAGTTCAGTATAGGTTCGGGTTTAGGATTTTGGGTTAAGGGTTTAGGGTCAAGGGTTGAGGGTTTGCGTTTATGGTTGTAGGGTGTTGGGGCTTAGGTTGCGGCTCGGCATAATCAGTCGTAGTCTTCCCCGTGGGCCCCCAGTATATCCCCACTCTGTTATGCCCTAAAAGCACCATTCTATTATTTGTATTAAGGCTCCTATATTCAGTTTTTTGGTATAGGTTTTTGTGTGGGTGGTGGGCTTCAGGGTTGGGTATTTTCGTCAAAGGCTCCTCAGAGAGAGGCTTCGCGGCCTCAACCGTAAACCCTAAACCGTCAGTCTAAAATTCGTGTTGCTTCTGTTCAGAAACTCCTTATACCAGCTTCCGCAGAAAGGGTCTATTGAACCCTAAACCCTAAACCCTAAACTTATGAGATTCTTTGATGGACAGACTGTGACGATTTCAAATGATTATTTCTTCACTTTATCATCATTTTGATCTTCGTTCCGTTTCAAATC